CGCGCCACTATAGTGGCTTCCGCGGATATCATCTTTTAGAACGACACGTCACTATAGTGTCTTTCGCGGATGTCATCTCTCTGGACGACGCGCCACTACAGTGTATAATATAACCAAATAATCGTCTTCATATGCATTGTTTCACACTTCTTTTGTCTTCGCATCGATTTACAACAGTCTACAGGGTGTCCCAAAAATGTCTCGCAATCCGGAAATGGCGGGTTCCTCGGATCATTTGAAGCAACTTCTTCCTTTACAAAAAGTTTCTCCGAGGCACCGTTAACGAGTTATTCATGAAAAACAGTGACCAATAAGAATCGAGTACGGCTGACGCGAGGCGACCCAGCCAACCAGCGCGCGAAGCCCAGTTCCGCTCATTGGCTCGATCGCCTCGCGCCAGCTGAGCTCGCCTCTCATTGGTCACTGTTTTTCGTTAATAACTCGTTAACGGTGCCTCGGAGAACATTTTTGTAAAAGAAAAAGTTGCTTCAAATGGCCTGAGGAACCCGCCACTTTCGGATTGCGAGACATTTTTGGGGCACCCTGTATATACAGTATCAGACTCTGTAAAGTACACATCAGACTCTGCCGCCCAGAGAAATAGCCTCGCGCAGAATTCAGCCGTACCTAAAAGGTTAATTGACCGACGATTCGTGATACCAGCAAGGTGGAAGAGTTTGCAGAGAAAAGCTTGTTATCCTTAAAAAATAAAGCTTGTTATCAGCGAGTAAAATTGTTACCGTTTGTTCTGCTTTGTTAGTGAAAGAACAATAGGATAATAATGTTGTTTCGATCTCTGCTCAGACATACAAGGACCGTAAGACACTGGAGTTCACCTGCCACACGGCCTTCTTCGTCTCTATCGTGATTGTACAGTGGGCCGACTTGATCGTCTGTAAGACGCGACGTAACTCCATCTTCCATCAAGGAATGAAAAACTGGGCCCTGAACTTTGGTCTGGTGTTCGAGACCGCCCTCGCCGCGTTCCTAAGCTACACGCCCGGCATGGAAAAGGGTCTCCGCATGTTCCCTCTCAAGTAAGCATTGATTTTCTTTGCTGTCGCCCTTTGCAACAGCCTGGACAAGTCTTCTGCCCCGTCAGCTCTGTAACAAATTCTTTCGTCTTTCCATCATTTTTCATGTTTCACCAACTCTTTCTTATTGTTTAGAAATGCATGAAACTCCCAGTCTATCGAACTTACCTACGAGAACAGACGTATGAAAACATCGAAAGATGATATCGAAAGTTGATCATCGTATCTTTTTGTCATCGTAAATGGTAACGAGGAATTCGTTTTCGTTTCAGATTCGTCTGGTGGCTGCCGGCCATTCCTTTCATGTGCGCCATCTTCATCTACGACGAGACGAGACGATTTTACCTCCGCCGGAATCCAGGAGGCTGGCTCGAGCAAGAAACTTACTACTAGACGCAAAAAGGAGAATTAATCATACACGCAGAGCGCGCGCGCAAGAGTAAGAGCGAGAGAAGCAGAGAGAATGATGTGAGAGAGAATGAGACGCATACCCACGCAATATACACCGAGGAAAATAATAATACATAAATAATAAAAAATAATTAAACAACCAAAAAAAAAATAACAAAAGAACAAGTAAATCACTCACGTTTAAACACATAACATTTTACATGGGGCGTGCTATCCGGGTCTATCCGTACTGTCGCGAAATCACGAGATATATTATACATGTATATTAAATATTCGAGGGACGAGAGAAGTTCGCTAGAGCCGAGCCGAATCGTCGAACGAGTGGAAAACTAGGATTATCTGAGAGAACAATGAACAAAAATAAAGAGAAACGAATACAGACGATAAACGAAAATGAAATGGTGTGTCTTGCAGCCAGTCTCGAGGAGCGAGTACGCTGTTGGGAGGCAGGGACGCTCCCATCGACAGTGTGAAGTACAAAAAAAGAAGAGAAGAAAACAAACGAACGAAAAAAAAAATGAATGTCGATGAAAAGGAACTTGGAAACAAAGGGGGGAGGGGGGGAGTAAAAGAATGGAAAAGAGATTGCGAGAAAGAAAGATAGAAAAGAAAATATATAAAAGAGAGAAAGACGTTCGTCGTTCTGGCTCTGCGAGTTGCTTGCACGCGCGTGTACCGGTGTATCATTCACAAAACGGACGTCGTCCGTGAAACATCGAAGGGATCGACGAAGATATAGGGGTTCTACGAGCAACGTCGTCGGAAGGTTTCCAATAACTTCCGGGTACACACCTGATACTATCGAGGGTTGTAGGTGTCGGTGCTGCCATCGGATTTTCGACGGAACAGCTGGACAATGCAGGTGCGAAGAGTGTAGGGCCTAAACGATCGGTAAACAAGGAAGGACGTAGAACGGGGTCACCGAGGGGACATTCAAGGTGGAGGACAGCCGTTTAAGAGGACGATGAAGACACTTTGGGAATGGCAGGGCGACAGATCGACGGATAACGCGCACGTCCGTATGAACGTCGACGGGTGTAGGACGAGATGGAGTTCAGTGGGTTTAATTAGGATCCGTGGCGCATTAAGTAGACGTCTTGTGATATCAAGAAATATATTCTTAGGCATCCCTGTTAAGCATTTAATGAGCAAAGATACGCTAGAGGTTGTCCACGATTAAGAGATCCAGACGGTAAAAATGGAGATACGTCTCGTTACACGAGGAATCTTGAATAGGAACTTAATTAACTCTTAATGAAACGGAAGAAGTCAGTACGCTAGATTGGCACGCCCTAGAGATTATCCACGACGAAGGAGACTGGAGGAGTTAAACATCTGAAAACCAAAAAAAAAAAAAAATAATCAAGAAAACAGTCAAACAAGATGAAACGCGAGAGGAAAGTGTAAGGTAAAGCGCGTTCGCAGTATTCGTTGATTCATTCAAGCTGCAGTAATGTCGAAATCCGAGTAGCCATCGAGACCAGAGATAACATTGCGCGTGTAATCTATGTAGTCGAGTCTCAGCACCGGAAGATCGCTTATGCGAAGAGGGAAAGGGCCAGGAATGGTCGTAAAGGGAGAGCAAGGAAGGGTGTGCAATGATCGAGTCAGTTCCGAACGGGGTGTGCAACCCGAGACAACGCGAAGAAGAGTCGTGAAGGATATAATAGAGTTTGAACGTGCAGGGGCGAACACAGAAAAAATGAGTAAATGCGACAAATGGACAGTGTAACAAAGTAATTGTCAACCGTATCGGTACCAACTGACGAGAAGACGTAAAGGGAAACTAATAAAACGAGGAGACGAAATATGTTATTTAATTATGCAAACGATGAGGTGGACGCGCGCGACCTTGTTCGGTAATTGATGAACCGAACTCGCGTGCGCGCGCCACAGACTCAAACCAGACAAATGAATTACGAAAATGTTATTGATTAAAAGAAGAGAAAATACTAATAACGAACTAAATAGAGATACGAGAGAGTTTAAGAGTAACCGCGCCTGGCCTGGAAACCAGCGTGGTTTCCGGCGGTAAGGACGCCACGATAGTCGAGGTAACAGGATATACAACAATTGCTAGTAGAGAATGATAAAGACGTAGGGAAAGCACAGACAAAAAGAGACAGAGAAGGAGGAGATGGAATAGAGCAGACAGAAACAATATCATGAAATGAAAAAAAAAACACAAACACACACAGAAAGAGTGGAAAAGCGAGTGGAGGGAAAAAAACATTCTTACTTAGGCGAAACTACAAAAAAAAAAAATAACAAAAGTAAAGGAAAAAAAGGTATAAATTCATTCTCTTAGTTTTGTCATAGGTTTAAAGAAACGCCAGCGGGACAGCTCGCTATAAATTCATTGACCCCCGAACGCAGAACGCCCTGTACCACCAACCCGCGGTCTGTCGTGTGTATGTATGCATGTGTGTCAGTGTCAATACAACGCCCCTTCGGAATTCTTTTTGTTTTTTTGTTTAGAAGCGACAGATATACAAACAATGAAACAACTAAACGGAAACAAAATGAGATAAAAGTAAACAGGAGAACGAAGGTGACTTACAATGCCTGCCAAGCGACTTTTCGGGCCGGGACGATCCGAGACGTGCCATCGAAACGTGTTCGGCTCTTGTTTCGAGCTTCTCCAACGCGTGACACGCTCCTTCGTCGACAATTATTGCTCGTCTTTCTTTGGTCTATACGTTGTTCTTGTTGCTCGCTTTCACGGCTTCTTGTGCGTGCGCTAGCTACGTCGGTAACGTAGGGCTTCGTTTCGAGCGGAGAATCTCTCAGCTTGTACATCTTACAATACTCGCTGACGAATCCTCGCCGTTTAAACGACTCAATAACGAACGGATCTTCAACGAACGTGAAACCGACAGATTTGCCGCGTTTCCAAGGTTCACTATTCGTGCATAACCCGCGCGAACCGAACCGAGCCGAACGGACGTCGAGGATTTAGGTAGAGGGTGACGCTTGCTCGGCGAGACCCTGGCCCCAAAACTACCCTAAGTGTTCAATAATCGAGGTGTTCTCGAGGTGCCGTGCACGTGTAACATGTTCCGCCTTCGCCGTTCCCGCCGAAACCCCTCGATCACGACCGAGGATCCAAAAAGGGTTCTTCGTTTCCTCGGTCCAGCCCTTCCGATGAAGTTTTTTTGTTGTGCGCGCGATGGGCTAGACAGATCGAAACGCGAACCCGTAGCGTAGAGGAGCGATTCGGTCGGCACGGCAAAAATTGTCGAATTGTTTGGTCGAGACTCGCGGATCGCCATTTCGAATCCAACCGTTAAACGTTTTCAGATAGAGGGCAGCAGTGTACCGTCGCGTTGCTCGTCGAACTCGGACCCGGACTTAAGACCACACTAAAGAGGAAAGAAACATACATGTAAATCGATTCTCATCGCGCGAAACGTCCCCGGTTTCTCTTCTCGGGCAAAGAGAAACCCGCATAATCCTTGATAACGGTGATCGAACAGTACTAGATATGTTCAGAAGAGAGGAGCCGTTCTATGTCAGACCGCCATGTTATTCCGTTTCCGTGGTGTTTCCTCGTTTCACGTTACGGAACAGTGTACGATGGCTCCCGCGTGGTGGAGACCGATCATCATTCCTGTCACAACGAAATCGAACGAAGAAAAAACATGTAAAAATGTTCGCCAAGATAGTTTGCCTTTGGTAGATCCCCGTGTTTCGAGACAGGACGCGGATGGAACTAAAATGGTCGAAAGATGGGAATCGAATTGGATTACGATGTTTAGGGAGAATCGATGGGGGTTTGGGGGATGAGTGGGAAGATGCGATGGTTTGGCCCATTCGTTTCTGTGAAGTGATACTGGCCCGCGATATACGGTGTCATGGAGCTGGATCCAAGGATCTCGAGGATCCGTGGTTTGTCGACAGGGTGTTCCGTGCCCGGGGGGCGTAGGAGCCCAAAAAAATGCTTTGCCGTCGTGCGCCTCTTTACTTTAGGCTAATAATTTAAACATTAATAATATAATAATAATAATAATTATAATATAATACATGTTACAATAAGATATTATTAGATGTAATTATTATATATAGTTTAGTCTAGATCGTGTTGTTGAAGAAAAAAAACAAAGTACGTATAAGCGAACAAAAAAAAGAGAAGATATGAGGTACGACGACGACGAGAGAGAGAGAGAGAGAGAGAGAGAGAGAGAGAGAGAGAGATGAAAGAAAGAAAGAAAGAAAGAGAGAAAGAAAGAGCGAGAGTAGAGAATCATGGGAAGTGGCGGTGAAAGGAAATTCCGGTCTAAGACCATAAATTTGCGGCGGACTGTGAGCGGGACACTGACGAGAAAATCCGCTTTTGCTTTTCGTACGTGAATCGATCCATTTCTTTTTCGGGCAGCAACTTCACTTACGACCTTCGACACGACATATTAACTCGCATTTTCAACCAACAATCACGCGCACCCATCGAGCCAAGTCACGCTTAGACGTTCTAGGTCCCCTTCTCGCAATAGATCGTGTATTATATACCTTGTTTCCCTTTTTTCTGTTCTCCGTTTCCTGTTTTCCGGCGCTTCCGGTCACGCGGACAGATTTGCGGCCGTAAGTCCCACTCTACTTCATTTCCGAAGCATTTCTTATTCCGTTACCGTCACGTGGATCCTTGATACGCGAGTCGCAAATCTCTTCGCATTCCGAAAACGAAAATCCTTGATCGTCAATAAATAATTATCGTCAAATGGTTTTTTCGGGTGAATTGGCGAACGAGCGGGAGAAAAAGTGACGCGTGAATGGAGTGGGCGAACGATCGAATGTTAAAACACAAAGATACCTTCGTCTTTCGTTGCCGCGATCGGACACAATTGGCGCGAACAGTTCAAATCCGTTATGTAACGAACGACAAAATAGAGGAAGTTAACGTGATCAAATTCAATTTAAACAAAAGTTACGAACAGTGTAACGATACACACTGTGTAATGTCGCCCCTGCACAGCCCGCCACACCACGACAGAATCATTGAATGATTAAAATATAAACAAAAAAAATGAATGATGTTTTATTAATATTGTACATATTTTAAATAATTGAAGACGGACAAACAGATCGCGCGTGATTGGTGACCCACCGGAAGGCGGCCCCCCCTCGCGAGGACCGCCAATCGTGTACACGGGTCCCCTGTACACTTTTCTGTTCTTCGTTTTAGCGCCGCATCACCACACTCAACACATGTACACGTATACACACACACACAGACACGCGCCGAGAACACGTGCGAACATAGAGACACACGTAACACGCTCAGAAATAAAATGAGAAAAAACAATTAAAAGAAGTGACGTGTACACCGCTCTACCAACTATCTCTTCTGATTGATGATTACTTTCATATTGATTATTCTGTAAGTTCTGTTTTCACACGTAAAATACATTAAGGAAGAAAAATGAGAGACATTGTCCAACCCAAGTGTCATTACTTTTGATGTTAAATAAAAAATACATAATTAATAAAGCACTCTTTATCCTACACCTTTTCTGATTGGTATTTCTGCACATGCGCGAGCCTCGGGACTAGAAGACAATGAAGGCGTGAAAAGAAAATACTTAGTTTTGAATGTCGGTAGTATTTATTACGCTTATGTACACCTGTAATTACTCCAGCCATGTTCGATTCATATAAATTTTAATTTCATGTACACCCGTTGTCGTTTTCATTCCATATCCGATGATGCCAGTTTTTCTCGATCTCTGTGCAGATTCTTCTTCCGTAATCGTTGAATATGTTTCTTTAGCTTACCTGACTTTTTCAATTCCTCGTATTGAGAAATCAAATCCAACATTTTCACTTCAGCTAGAAAGAAACGATTAGATCGCTAACATTAGAAGTACAATTTTTAACGAACGAATTCATATTATTCTAAATACTTACATTTCTTCTTGAAGGTAGGTTTTTCTCCCTTCTTAATAGATTCCACAACTTTTTTCTTTTCTTGATATACTTTCTGCTCTCTTTTATTCTGTCTGGTCCCTTCGCGTAACTGATTTTCTAATCTTTGAATCAGATACTTAATCTTTTTTATAATTTCTGGATCATCGGTCTGCTCTAATTCCTTTTTTAATTTCTTTATATCGTTCTGTTTCACATCGTTGATGAATCCATAACATTTTTTAAAAAACTTTGGGTCGTATGTACCACACAGGCTGTCGAATCTAGGATCCCTAGGTATATTTTTCTTTACACGTGCAATAACCCTTAATCGTGGAACAGGTTTTTTTGAAGAAACTTCTTGTGGCATGTCTTTGTTTCTTCGTTCGAATTCAATGTTACGAACCCTTTTTGGGTCAACCCTTTTTGGGCCAAACAAGACTTCATTGTAAACTTTTGTCCCTAATTTTTCTTTAAGCTTCTGTAAATTCTCAAAGCTCATCTGTGACAGTTGAGCTCTGATATCATTCTAAAGAATTACAAAACAAAAATTAGTTTAAAAGCTCCAGAAGTAGTATGTATGCATAACCTCTTAATCTTACAAAGATGATGATTAAAACTTTAACTAGAAATACATTTTTTTAAACCTACCTGATCCTTGTCTTCATCAAGAAGAACATCTTCTTCATCTCTCATGTTAATTCTCGAAAAATAGTTTTGAGGTTCACAATTGTTTCTGCTTTTACGGAGTATCCACGAAGTCGCCATGTTAAAAGCAGTAAATATGAAATTATGAATAGATTGAACACAACGAATTTTCGTGGTACAAATCGACCACAGTGCCATCTGATACGAGACTTTTATACCTCATCTGTGCAGGTAACAATGCGTTCGTAGTTTAATCATTTTCTGTAGATAGCGCCATTGGTCGGTTTAAAAAATTGATCATCATTATAATAGGTATATCAATTAACACTTTATAATGCATAATTAAATAGATTCGAAGAAATTCAATAATTAATTTGTTACATTTTAAAATGAATGTAGAATTACAAATGCAAAATTTTTCGATTTTTTTCTATACATATTTAATGCACGTACTACTGCGGTCAAAGTATATTACATACCATCGATTGACATGACACAAGAGAGACCTGTTATTTCCTCTAATAACTCTTGAGTTGTCAGAATAGAATGAACAATTATTTTGATCATCGTCGTATCGTTTCCGTATATGTCCTCTTGGTCATTCTTAACTTCAACTTTATGCAGATTTCCCGGTGATTGCGCAACATTACGAAATCCCTAATATTACGTAACGCGTTATATACCAATATATGCGTCATAATGTCGGTACTTATTGCTATATATGTGTCACGGTACAGAACCCCTCAAGCTGCGTAAAAGAATAATTGTGCTGCGTAAAAACCATGAACCTGTACAGTGACTCCCTCTATCCAACTCGTTAGAAGGTGGAATTTCAAGGTTACACGAGTTGTCAATCTAATAAACATCGTTGGTTTCTAATTGTATTGATGTTTTGTTATTAACATAAAAAAAAATTGTCCGATCATTCACAGATGCAGTTATATTATGAATACTATATATCATATATCTAACCTAATATATTTAATATATAATAATCAATGTCAAACGCACATAGCTAAAACACCAATTTATAACATATTTCGAATTTCTACAAGTATGTATGTATATCTGTATGTATGTATGTATGTATATTTAACAAATATCATTTAACAAATGTACAGAATATAAAAATATAAGACTATTTATTCTACATAATAATATATTTGTGTTGCTATGTCAAACTAATTCCCATGAAATGAAATTTCATTTTAATGCTATTTATATGCATATTTCATATGTTTATATAAATTACAATTTAATTTACCAATATAACTAACCTACATTTCAGAATCGTAGACGATCCGAAATTACGTTCTTAACTGCGAATGAAATGTTGGCCACGAGGGAGAGGCACCGTCAGCGTTGTCTAAAATGGCGGGCGTGCTGTTCGAGGATATTTTCAATGTGAAAGACATCGATCCAGAGGGCAAGAAATTCGACAGGGGTGAGTCTAAAACACTCTTCATACCTTTATGTATTTGTGGACTGTGTTGCATCAGAATATTTTGCTTCGCTGCGAAATTCCTAAGCATTCTAATTGGGACGTTTCACGAGCATTCCCTCACAGTAGATACCGGGAAGCACATGGTGTGACAGGTTGATGTAAATACCGAGTTCTGCACGTAAACATGTTATAATACTATGCTCGCTATTAACATTGTCTACTGTGTTGAGTACTCGACAGTTTTCCATTGATGAGAACGTTGTATTATTAATTTGTAGTCCGAAACAATGTTCGTCATTTTTTGACCAATTGCACTCTCGCAATGGCGGGAAATTCGAAATTCAAATAAAAGTAAACATTTGGATCACCTTTATTATTTAAAACACATGTTGCCGTTTTTGTAAGTAACTTTTATATCTGATATTACTTGCCACTTCTTCACATTCCGAAACTAGGCAATACTTCGTTCTTCAAAACATATACGTCTGTGTAGCTACAAGAAGGTACCTATAAAATATTCTTCAATTGTTTGCGAAATATCCGAATGTCTATCGAGTGACGGCCATTGTTAATTCAACATAGTACTTCGATGTGTCAGAAAGATTCGACAGAAATCTGTCACAGTCATTTTTCTTCCACAGAAAAAGCCTCTAGGGTCGAATGTGTTTGACATTAATTTGAAAGGCAGTGCTTTGTGGCAGTGCAAGCACCATTCTTCTCGTCACCTTGAACTGTGTGACTGCAGATTTGTTACCCCACTTTTTTCCGGCCACTGTGTATATCGACGGATTCGACTCAACGCGACGCGCAAAAATTGCGAATTGGTGACACGGGAATTTCGCCGAAACCGCCACATGTGTCACTCAATAGTGTGCATTGTTCTAGTTATCGCATTCTCTTATCGCCTCAACTGTTTTGCATTTCGCGAAAAACGGTGACGGTATTTTTATCAACATATTTGAATATTTGAATTACTATGATCCCGGTTCTAACATGAAATGTAGAAAATTGGATTTTAAAGATACCTCGGCCTCCAAACCCTGCAAACGATTGCCGTGTCTGAAAAACATCGCAAAGTGATAAACGATTGTTCCAAATCTAAAATAAAACACTTTTTTCTTATCAATACCGTTTTCTAATTTTCATTTGTTTTATCATCGCAGATGGAAGTTTAAACATTGATACGATTACATATCATCAAGGTCGTTTAAACATTGATACGCATACCAGAATAATGGCGTCACTGCAGCCATATGGCAAAGCTTTGCGGCTCGCCTATGAAAAGCTTGTTTAAAACGGAACTTCCGCTCGCGATATGAAAACCACCACAAAATCGCTTCTACAATTACGCTGGCTTAATTAGAACTTCGCAATCGGTAAAGTAATTTGGCTCACTCGAAATCTTTTCTGTTACATACACTTCCTTAAGATGCAAATTACAGTCCCCTTGTTCATTTTCAATCCATTCGTTCTTTTGTATTGTTTTCTGCTTTTCTCGCGGTTTATTATCTATTAATTTACACGGGGTTAGCATGTACCGGTGCATGGAACCAAGAAGACTAAAGACGAAGAATAATGGCGAATAAAAATTCGATAGCGGGTGAGTTAACAGGAGAGTTTGTGTCTACCATCGATCATATCGAACAGGAGCGGTGTAATTCGAAAGAGAAAGAGCGGTACGTATCGCGTCACCCTATATTTTCACCTACATTACCGCCGAGAAAAGGGTTTCGCTGGGACAACAGCGTTCCATGCGGATGGGTGTTAGTGGAGCTACGCGAGGGACAGAGAAAACAGGATCTCGGTTAGCGGGAAGAGTTAGGGGAAGAGGATGTGGCAAGGGGTGGGAAAGAGTACGGAGGGAGGCTGGAAGGAGCGGTTTGAAGGATGGATTAGGCTGGTTACACAGCGAGCCTCTTTGTTCGAGCGCCCATTGCGCACAATTTTCTTCCACGTACGGTGGGTAACGAAAGTATATTCGAACACTAGTATAACTTCTACTTCTACGCCATATATTTAAGTAAATATGTATACATCGATGGGAAAAAATATTTCACGGTATATTAAAGCACAGTATATAAATGTCAAAGTACAAAAAACTTTCCATTTAGTATAAAATGTTAATATATAATACAAAATGACAATATAATATAAAGTAAAAGGACGTCGAATTTTCACGCAGTACAAATATTCGAACGCCTTGTAGAATTGAGTTGAAAAGATATAAAGATACATTTTTTAAAATTTTTATTATTATTTTTATACCTCTATTGTTCAACTATATGTTTCAAGACTTTTAACATTTTTAAAATTATTCTTTATTTATGATCGATGTCGTTTTACATCTCTATTTTACACGATTTTATGATTTATTTATAGTATGTTTTTTTGTTGCTACTTGTATGACCAAATTCACTTTATGGGGACGAACAGCCATGTATAAGACACGTGTAAATATAATTTCTTATCCTGATTTGTTAATGCATCTAAAAAAATTTTTTGTTAAATTAGAATACATATTATATTAGTGTTCGAATATTTTCGTTACACACTGTATCCGATGCATATCGATATCGTTTAGAGAACAGGATGAGATTTCAAAAATGTAATCATGCAATCCTTTAATATGGTTATGCTTCTGTCGAACTTTTCATACTTCTTGGGTAATAGTATTCCTGTTCTAGCTCAGTTTGGTTCAACACGTCTTCAACTGTTGTGATGTACAAAAGATAATTTAGTTGAGATAAAGCACATCTAGTTCAGACGTATTTAAGATTACTAATATGTTTTACATGATAAAGGACAATTGTTGGCCAGTCTTGCAAATCTGGGTAAATGGGTGTTCGAGGTAGCAATTGTTCCAGAAGTCACGTTTATTAATCTGATAGTCTGTTCCAATATTTTTCTCAACAAAACTGATCAAACTTTTGATTTATCAATTCAAGACTTCTGCTCGGATTCGTTTGTAATCTTGTTTATTAGGTCGAGGATACGACGTGCTCCCACATATTCTCATCAAACGTATCTTCCTTTAGTCACTACTCTCATTTTGTATAGCCAAGAGTTCTATCCACAGGATTCGTTTTGAAAAACTGGTGTCCATAATATTACCAATTTCTTTTTTCCTGTCTAAAGCCCTGATACAACAGTCTCTTGATCTATTCATCCCGTCTGCAACACCAGTGCACGCATCCATTTTGGTACGGTTCGCGCCACGTGCACCAGGCGTTCCGTAAATAGCCTGGGTACACGGTGCAGGGTAAAAGTCCCGCGACTACCAGACACCTGGCTATCGTCTTGCAGATATTAATTCTGAACCGGCGCGTAAGAGGACATCCGCGGGAAACAGCGGTCATAGTGTTGCATCAATGAGAGAGGCTCGGCCGATCGGCACCGCCTCGTGATTCATTGTCGCGTAGTCTCGGTGGTCTCCGTAGATGCTCGGT